ACACTCCAATGACCTAACCAAAGACACTACACTCCAATGACCTAACCAAAGACACTACACTCATACGAGTTAACCAACGAAACTACACTCAAACGAGTTAACCAAAGACACTACACTCAAACGAGTTAACCAAAGACACTACACTCAAAAGGGTTAACCAAAGACACTACACTCAAACGAGTAAACCAAAGACACTATAGTTAACGTTATGATATCCGTTGATTGGGGAATCTGAACTCGGATGAAGTTTGAGTGTAGTGTCCGAGTGTTCTGTATTCATGTTAAAAAAGAAGGTTTCAAGCATAGTGCATCTTTACACATGTCAGCTTAACTTGGAAAACTTACTTAGGGTGTTGCTTACTAGGTTAAAAAAATAAAGACATTGAATCAACGTAACGACAAGTCACATATATAATAATTTATTATAGTGTAAAATTCTGTGCGGTTTAACTCCAATGAACTGTTTAGCTCTACAACCCAGGTTCCCAAGACTCGTTTAGCCAGTTAAACTAAATGCGATAGCCACACGTTAGCGGCTCAACAACATTTATTTCAGGTGACGATCGGAAATCACCTACCTTTTCGTAAGGGTGAGAGTTGGGGTGAGTCTGGCGGTACTCTTCACACCCGAAGCACGGCCCATGTTGACTTTGGGCGTCATTAAACATCGTTATCACGAGGAATCCGAGAGTCACGGCCTTGGTGACTTTCAACAGAGCTTGTTGCTCGTGTGATCTTTCGGTGACCATCTCCGTCCACCGCCGCACCAGCTGGACCCAATGCACGTTCATTTCCTGGCACACTAGCGCGGGAGGTTAGCAAGGAATCCTCCACGTCTAAGTAAATCACGCGATTTGATACCCTTCCCTTCTCTGTTCAGTAACACGTAACGCTTGTCATCGCGTGCTCGGACCAACTGTCTGGTACTTTCGCACCTTCCCCAAAATGTATCGGTCTTTTTGTGCTCCGCAGCGCCCTCTAAGTGATGACGTGAGCTATACTAAACAGCTGGTTTGAGAATAATTCACAGTAAATAATAAAGTTGTAATTAAAAACGTTGTCATTCTAAGTGTTTTTTTAACCTTACCTTTCTAGTGTTTCTTATAAATAACATAAACAGTTCCCTTACCTGTCTATAAATCAACCAAACTATCACTAAAGCAATTTACACTTTTTTTTCCCCCTCTCTGGTTTCTATGGTTTTTGTTAGGTGGCAGTTTAGGTTTTTTTATTCGGAATAGTACGTAAATATACGATTGAGACTGTTTGTTTTGGAGCAAAGCCACATTGGGCTCTCTGCTGTGTCCACTGCGGGGAATCGAACCATGGATTTTAGTGTTTTAAGTAAGGAAACTTACCACTCTCCCACCGGGTGCCTCCCCCCCTCCCAGTGGCACAGCCGTATGTATGTCTGTTGACTTACAATGCTAGAACCCGTGTTTCGATACCCGTGGTGGGAAGAGCTCATATAGCCCTCTGTGTAGCTTTATGCCAAAATATGTAAAAACACGTAATTTTCATACCTTAAGTTTCTCTGATGAGGCCCTGGCATGGCCAGGTGGTTAAGGCACTCGACTTGCAATCTGAGGGTCGCGGGTTCGAATCCCTCTCACACCAAACATGCTCGCCCTTTCAGTCGTGGGGGCGTTATAATGTGACGGTCAATGCCACTATTCGTTGGTAAAAGAGTAGCCCAAGAGTTGGCGGTGGGTGGTGATGACTAGCTGCCTTCCCTCTAGTCTTTCACTGCTAAATTAGGGACGGCTATCGCAGGTAGCCCTCGTGTAGCTTTTCGCGAAATTCAAAAACAAACCAAACTGATTTCATCAATCTATAAATATGGCGTCAAGATTAATTACATCTGTTTCTTTAATGTCTGACAATGTTATCACATTATTTGTCAGCCATGAAAGATCAGAAAATGGATTTCCTGTTTTATCTAATAAGTAAGTTCGTTAAGAAGCGTTAACAGAATAATCCTCCATTTTTTCTTCTTGTATAAGTAGATATCAAATATTAGTAATCTCTCCGATGGTATTGAATTATCGAAACCAAACGTTCCAATATAATGCTTTTAATTATGCACAAAGCTACACAAGGGCTATCTGTGCTCTGCCCACCACGGGTATCGAAACCCGGATTCTAGCGTTGTAAGTCCGCATACATACCGCTGTACCACTGGGGGGCAACCAATATAAATACAGTCTTTGATATGTACATAAAAATACGGCGAGATTATAAAGCCGAAATTATTCATACATTTTTTCCGTCAACGAAGTTAAAAAAACTGAATAATGGAGCTATAATTCAGACGACGATGAATAGGCTTTTTTATTTTTACTGTATTTCAAAAGTTTGATGTATTATTTTTCTTTCTACAAAAAAAATAAAAAATACAATAAGTGTTAAATATAAACGTTACTTTCTAAACTTGGATAATCTACGTATCTTTAACATTTATCAAGAGGCAAGACGACCTGCAGATGACGTCTGAGTGAGTTAAACTTTGATTTGGGCGAACGTTGTCGTGGTCATATATTATTGTTACACTCTAATAACAGTCGTTAAAAAGTCGTTTCCTAGCCCTTCGATTGCCGAGTAAATAAGGCGAAAATGACTAACTCGCTGATTACCCTAATCAATTTCTCCCCTCAGCTCTGAGAAGAGAAATGTGCCATTTAGAATACATTTAAGGACACCGTGAAGCTCGTGCCGCACGTGTTTTCTGAAAACCTGTCCTTATATAATTAATGAACCTCTGCCGTCTGTTCTGGAATGAAGGTTAATTAATTTTTCATATTTTTGCTAACACGGTCGCTCGTTGTGTCGGGGGACGACCTAATGATAATTAATGACATCTTGTTGTGAATACAACTGATCCGTTGGGAGTGATTTGTTTGTTTGTTTGTTTTGGATTTCGCGCAAGGCTACACGAGCGCTATCTGCGCTAGCCGTCCCTAATTTAGCAGGTTAAGACTAACCACCTGGCCATCCGTTGGGAGTGATTTTCATCATTACGACCGGAACATTGCGAATCCATCGACCCCTAGTATCGCAAGGGTTCAATCATCCTACCTCCACCAAAGTCAGATTAAATTATATTTGAATCCAGACTTTTCACATTTATTAATTTTCTATTCACAGCAACCGACTCGGAGTCTTAGCCAACGTTTCGAATGAGCTTTTTTTTTTTACGGACGTTTCTCATTATTATTATTGCGAGACAACGTTTCCGGCTCGTTCTGAGTCCTTGGTCATATCTATATCTTGTAAAAAAAGAAAAGAGAGAGAGAACATGAGACAGAACGCGGCCCTAAGTGAGGGCTTCAACTGTGAGGAATTTTGATTGGCAATTGGGAAGGTTATTGAATCCTTTTTCTCAAGATTCTGTAATATGTGGCTAAATATATTGTTAGTTTACAGTACAAGCCTAATCATTGTATCACAGATGTTATAAATGAACGCTATCATTTAAGTTTTTTTCTTTTTCTAATCAATGTTGTTTAAGAATTTTAGCGAAAAACTATATAAGGATAACTTGTGTAGAGTCATACCTAAGTTTAACCTGATAGACTAGAGGAAAGGCAATGAATAAATAGCACTCACCGCCATCTCCTGAGCTTCTCTTGTATGACATAATATTGGGATTTGACTGTCGCTCTTGTAACGCACCCACGGCTCCAAAACTCCAAAATAGAAACCACGTTTTTGTAGCAACAAGTTGGTATGATAAATCCTCGAATTCACAGCCAGGGCAAGCTAACCACTAAGCCACGCCCTGTCTGTCCACAGAGGAAAAAAAAATAATTAAATAAACAATAATTAAATAAGCACTCACGATGATAAGCTAGTCGCCACGTTCCCTAAATGTTCGGTATGTCTGCGGACTTACAACGCTAGAATCCGGGTTTCAATACCCGTGATGGACAGAGCACAGATAGCCCATTGTGTAGCTTTGTGCTTAATTACAAACAAACAAACCCTAAATGTTGTCTTCGTTCTATTTAATCTATTTCTGATCTTAAAGTCGTGTCTCACACATCATTTTAACATAACCGAATCTTTTTTAAAGCTTTATTATAAAAACAACCAGAAGTAAGGAACTATTAAACATCATAACAAATGCTTATTAGGCTTAATAACTTAATCTTATACAAAACTAGAAACAAATCTGATATTTGTATGCAATTTGTCATTCAAAGATTTTCATATCTTTAGAGCCAACTCTTCAAATAAAACCTTCCGTGTAGACTAATTCAAAACTGGAATTATTTGTTAAAATTCCTAGTCTGATTCTTCCAGTTCTTTCGATCAGAGTGATATTTACATATTTTCCACGAAAGAGTGTCGTAGAAATAGTCTGTCCTTATTTTCTCTCTTCAGAATGTCAAAAATATAAAATAGTCCAATTATCTTGTTCAATATATTCTATTGAGACCCCTGAATCATCTCATTAACTCTTTTCTTCCCAGCATCTTACACCTTTAAAAAAAAAAAAACTTCTCGAAGTACTGAAATTTTAAACTATATCAACTCTTACATGAATCGTATAATGTGGCCAATTTGAATAATTGCAGAATTCTCCTCTTGATAAAAACTTCACTGATGTATGAAAATGTTATTAACGGTAAATTTTTTTATTAGCACGTGCCACTACATCTAAATACGAATTGTCGGTTTTCTATTTATCTTTCACAGAAGAAGCCCATGCCGTCTGTGTCACATTCCGTCAGATTTTGTTTTATATTATTGCTAGCACAGTCCAGCAAAATATCTGCTGTTAAATTAGTCTCTTTATTGCAACATTACTTCTTTAAATACAGGATAATACATAAGAATTCTAATGGCAGACACCAAAATCTGTAAATCCACTTGTTTTAGGCCTAACGTTAGCTAAGCCTATATTAAGCACCGCCTATATTCGATAAAGAGATAAATTAACACTGTAACTCGTTTACGTTTTTTGCTTTAGTTTAGTTTAGTTTACCGTACTTAATACTATCACTAACTAAACTTATAATGTTATTCTATGATCTAATGTTAGACTTCTTTAAAAATTTGATAAGTTTTTAATATGTTGTTGTACAAAATGTCCACTAAAGTATATTTAGTTTTTGTTTACGTCCGTTGAATTGAAGTGTGCACGCATGCGCATTTCGATAGTAAGATGCACGCTTTTTAGGGAAGACAAAAACTGAATATTATTATAACAGAGTTAAAAAGCTATATATTTCTGCACCTTCTCGCAATGTTTTTATAATACATCATTCGTTTATCAAGATATTCCAATAAAAATGAGGAAACTGGCCGAAAAAAAGGCAAAGCTCTTTTCTGATGCAGCTATTTTCTTTTAAACACAATAATAGACAAATAATAAAATATCACTTTATTTTCCAATAATAAACAGCAATTGGCATAGCTATTAACACCTAAACATTTTAAACGCGTTAGCTTTGGTGTCCGTCATTATAAACACGCGAACTTTGGTGTACATCGTTCTAAACGCATTAGTTTTAGCGTACATCGTTCTGCGTGTTACCGCGCGTCATTTTGAACGCAATAATGTTTTCGTATTTCGTTTTCGATGCAGTTACAATCTAAATAACTTCTGTTGATTAAGATACACGATAGTTAATGAACATGATGAAACTGAGGACGTCACATTCTTCATTTATTAACCATTCGTGGTCCAAATACCTTGGTGTGAAATTTAATTGTGAAAAAGCATTTAATCGATTAATAAAAAACCTTGATTTGTTTCCATGTATATATAGAATCACCTTACCTGTATTTTGCTTAGTCAAACTTTTCAATGCAACGAGTACGGTACACGATGGTACGATGTCATTGTTATCAAGTGACGACTGGCTTCGATTTCAACGTTAGTTTCTTTTATTT